TATAAAAGCATAGATTTGAAACCTAAGTCCCAACAATCTCTGCCATTTTGATGTTGAAAAAATATTTTTTATTTGAGTTAACACTTATGGCTATTTTTCTCCTAAGCTCCCCCTAAATGAATGACTAATTTAAAAATAAAGGGTCCCTTAAAATTCAAAAACACAACTAACACAAAAATAAAATAACAAAAATAATAAGAACAAAAACATACACACACTAACACAGCAAACACACTCACAACAAAAATAACTTGAATAAAAATAACACACACTAACACAACAAGTAGACTCACAACAAAACATATACATACACACGAAATTAACATATACATACACACAACAACATCAAATAATCAAAGAAAATCATAGACATCAAACAATAACTAATGACTCCCCATTTTGATAACAACAAAAAGGTAATTACATCTTGAAATGAAAAGTTTCTATGGATAAATCAAAGTAGTTGATAAAGAAGAAGATTTTAAACTAGTTGCAAATACAAGAGTAACTTCCTATTACTAAAAAAAATTCAAATTTTAAATCAAAGAAAAACTGAGATAAAAAAAGCCAACTAAGTTCACTATTTATTCTAGACAAATTAAATAAAAATAATTATTACAAAAAAAGACAAAATATAGATTAATTAATTTTTAATTCAATATTGAAGATGATTGTCAATTATATGGATTTAGATTGGAGATAGAATGATAATAGAAAGAACAATATGAATTTTTCCATTGGCAACATTGTACATTTTTTTAATTGTTTGTGGTACACTTTGTGCATCTTTTCTACTTGAGCTAATTTTGTGCCTCTTTTCACTTTGTGGATATTACATATCTTTCAAATTTTTGCACATTTTGTGCATTTTCGTAACTATTTTGGTCTTTCCAATATCAATAATCCTAATTCAAATTCAAATAATAACAAAAATAAACACATTAAAAAAGAAAAGAAAATAAATAAGATGGTTATTTTGCAATAATTATATCTAATTTCTTAATCTATATCCAGTCATAATTTTAATTTTAATTTCGAAAGGAAATTAATTCGTAGAATAAAATAATTCAAAATTTCATTCAAGCGATTAACCACAAATGATTTATCTAAGGAAATATAAACATTTTAAGAAGTAAAGTTTCAATGCAAGTCCACACAACATTCCATCATTTCATTAATTTTTTAAGAACACATACAAACATATTTTTCAATTAACATCATCCCAAGTAACATCATCCAAAAAATATAAAGAAAAGACATGGAATTACTAACACATAAAATCACTAAAATCACAAGAAAATCATCTCAAAAATAAACATATAATGTCATCAGCAACTATAGTACATAAGTACAACTAATCATCATAAGGACCTTGATTTGGATGAGGTGGTGGGTTTAACATTGAAACATAACTACTGATAGTAGCTACATTCATGTTAATCGAGTCAAATTGCCATTGGATCCAACCCATGTCCTCATTGTATCTAACATCCTGTTGATTCAGGTGATTCTCAATTTGACCAAAGTGTTGATCAAAATGAGTTTCCATTCTGTCAATGTACTATACCATTTCTTGGTAGAAATTGTTGTAGGGTCTAGGTGCAAGAATAGGTGCTGGACCAAGAGCTTCTCCTTCTTCCTCAAAATCATCACCTTAAGAACACTAATCTCGCCCAAAGAGTGTCTAAAAAGAGGCATCAATAAAGAAGTAGGATGTTTAGTGGGTGGATCAGAATGGATTAGATTGTAGTTTTTCTATAAGATATGGGCAACAAAATGTCTTATGGCTAAATTTTTCTTCCTCTTATTTTGAGGAAGTCTAATATCATAAAGTTTATAAATATAATTCATGATAAGTAGGGCTTCATCAAAAGGTTTTTCAACCATAATCAAATATGTGATAATGGATAAAAGAATAGTTAGTTTATGCGATCACAAGTTTTAGGAATTATAAAGTTACTTAAGACAAGCTGGATGATCCAGGCATTCTGATTAAGAGTGTACACATGAGATAGATGGCAAACTTGGACAACACCTCTAAGAGTTTAATTTATTTTTGACCAGTCAAAAGTAGCTCTAGAGGTTAAAGTGTGCACTCTAACTCCTTATTTACTTAGGAGAAGGAAGTTGCCTAGATCTTCCTTAGGGACCTCTACATGTTGCTTAAAGATAAAAGAGGTAATCCTAGTAATATCTTGGTTTACCTTCATGTTTGCAAGGAATATTTTAAAGGTTTCACGATGGTAGGCATAAATTAGAGTAAGGATAAAGGAAAACTAGGTTGAGGCAAATAAGGGCATGATGAAAGTTCAACAAGGATATTAAGCCATAATGAACTAGTCCCAAGGCTAACTAAGAGGGGGGTGAATTGGTATTTTAAAAATCTTTCTCTTTAAGCAAAAGCACAAACTCAAACCAAATCAAAATTCACCACAAAGTGCAGAAATTTAAATGTAAAAAAAGAAATAGTAATAAAGAACAAAGAGATTTATAGTGGTTCGATCAACTCGACCTACATCCACTCCCTGGAGGCACCCTTCGCTTACTGCATTAAACTCAGTGTCTCTCCTTTTTCCCCCATAGCAAGGTGGAGAAGCCTATGCAAACATCCTTTCCACTGACACTAGTGAGGCAGAGAACCTAGCTCCATTTGCTTCCTCCTAAAGAAGGCAGAGAACCAAACACCTTTTGCTTCCTACTGAAGCATGCAGACAACCCAACTCCTTTTACTTCCTCCTGAAGTAGACAGAGAACCTTGATCAGATGCTAAAGTTAAAATCTCTAGAACTATGAAACCCCACACAAACTTCCCCTCATAAGATCCTCTCTCTCTTTCTCCCTTGCTCTCTCTCTCCTCTTGGCTCTCTCAGGTTAGGATAGTAGCACAAGATACTCTCTTTGGTAATATAAGAGCTCTTATATAGAAGAGCTTTGGAATAGCTCTTAACTGTAACAAACTAACTTTATCATCCAGGATGATCAGAGTATCATCTTGTACGATTAGTTCAAATTTAGCTCAATCAGCCAGGATGATTTGGGACGATTAGAAAGTTTTTGTTCATATAGTCCAGGATGATAGAGGAATTAGTACAAGTCATTGAATATCATATAAACCATCGCACTTAATGGATGCTTATACGATGGAAAAATAGCTTGATTATCTCGACCGATCTCATGATCGTCCTGGATGATTAGATCAAATCTGTGTATATCGTCTAGAGCATTGCCATGAATAGAAGTTGGCTGATATTTGAACATCCAGGAACAACTAATGTTTTGGAACTGATCATCTTAGCTGATCCTGTGATTGTGTAGGATGATATGATTGAGCAATCAAACCTTAATTTTTTTTCTTAATTACCAGATTAATTTAGGCATAATTTCACTACATCATCCAGGACAATATCATGGACAATGTCCAAAAATAAATAATACCTAAATAGATCTAGTAGCTTATTTTTTCTAATTTGAGCCTATCGTCCAAGATGATGCACTTAATTACATCTACCTTAATTTGGATGCCCTAATTAGGGTTTCTATTTTCAATGTAACATCTAGGATAATTTTTTGATCGTCTCATATGATGTGATCAAAATAGAAAACAACAAATACACAGAAATTTTTCCTTCCAAGTGTGTGTATGCAAGGTTACTTAGCATCATGAATCACATCGTTTACAATTCACTCAAGAAAAGGTAAAAAATTATAAACTAACTCATTCCTAGTCTACCCAATCTTGAGCTGGTTCAAATTATAGTTTAATCTTGTGGTCCTAAAATGTTAGTAGGCAAGATAGTCATAGAGAAACAGAAGTGTTTATTATCATCAAAATCATATTTATTGAAATCAGATTCACAATAATCTCCCCCTTTTTTTATGATGACAAACACAAAAATAATTAAAGCTGCTCAAAGTAAAGAAAATTAATAGAAATGGTATGAAACCAAAATTTCAATTTTTATTAAGGAACAACATAATATAACTAACCAATAATAGTACAAACTAGATCAGAACAACTACTCTCCCTTTTGACATCATAAAAAGGAGGAGGAAAAAATAACACATAAACTGAAAATATGATAAGACTAAAATAATGAAAAAATAACATCATGAAAACAAACTAAAATAAAGACAACCTCTGATCATCCAAAGGAGGAGAAGGTGGTGGTGGTGGTTGCTGAAAGTAACTAGAAAGAGTGGCAAACTACTCTCCAAAATAGGCCATGTCCTTGTCATGCTGGAGCTGTTGGTGTGCTACGTAAGGGTCAATGCGAGCAACATCCTTCATATGTTTCTGCTCCTATGTAATAATGTATGACTCGAAGCGAGTCTCCCATTGGTCAAACTGCTCTACAAGTTGATCCAGTTGAGAGTGCTGGCAGAGCGGAGCAGGTGCATGAATAGGTACAGGAGTCACCTCCTCCTCAGCTTCCTCAGCTTCCTCATGCTCTGGGTGGAGATGAATACTGTAAAGAATGTGTAAGGAGTTGCTTGAGTAGAAGGCAAGCTGATAGTTTGGTGGGGCAGGATATTGGAGGTTGTATTTAGATTCTAGGACATAAGTAATGATGTGCCCTAAGGCAAGATTGGGCTTCCTCCTATGTCCTGGATCACTAATGCTCGTTAAGTGCTCAATGTATCAAAAAATCAAATCAATGGCATTAAACTCACGTTTAAAATCATGATATTAAAATTAAAATAACAAACTCATAAATTTAATTGATATACAATCAAATTATTAATAAAAATCTCACAAATTATTATCAATTAAAGTTAATAATTTTGAAATTTTGGATTTTATAACATTTAAAAGTTTTTGTAATAGAAAAGTATGATTTCACCTCCAAACTCTCATAATTTTGGCTCCATTCTTTCCTATTTTTTTGCAATCATAATGCCAAAAAAAAAAGTTGAATTGGGCAAAAATGTCAGTAAGGTTTCACAAACACAAGCAATAAAAAGAAGAAAAAAAAGCTGGCAAGCAGAAGAGAAGCCAATAATTCAGCAAAAGGAGAAAATGACATTCACAGAAGTCGCATATGCAATTTATATGCTCACTTACATCATCATAGATAGTAAGAAAGTTTATAAAAAGAAATAAAAAACCATTAAGAGATCAATAATCAGAGAAAAAAAAAGTTTATTATCCAAAATGCAAATTTGACATCTTTACTCTGTCTCTATTTTCAAGGATCAAACGATATAAGACTTGGTTAGCTAAACTTCACCTTGCAACAATTGAGCTCATCATCTCAAATGGGATCATGAAGGAGGTCAAAGTTCCACAATTTGGAATTCATCTCAGCTGCAGCTTCTGATGCTCATAAAACAACTCAAAGAGGTTTTCATGTTCTCTTTGTTCCAAAGGATGTCTGCATGTTTTTGTCAGTTGGATGATCGACGAGATCACCGGCGCGCATTTGCCCAATTCCTAAGCTGGTTCTTAGGCTTCATGTTCGACGGTCGCTGGTTATGTAATTGCTTCGGAAGATCGCTTATCTCCATTACTTGTATCGTTCGTTGTCGCTTCGCTGCGAAACAAGAACATCAATGGCAACAATGTTGAATGCAAGGAAGTTTGATTGTTAAGAAGAACAAAGAAAGTAACAAACCATTCTCTACTTGTTGATATCGTTCATGAAGTCTCCTCTTTGCCTGTTCAAGCTTGGCATCAACAGATGTTTCTTCGGAATTCTTTGATTTCTGCATACAAATAGAATTAGTGATAAAATTCTGCCAACTTCAAAGCACTAAATGTATAATACTTCTTACTTCGATTGGACCGTTGGAAAGTTTTCTCTGGACAGTTGAGAATTGAGTGTTTGGTTTTTGTACAGGAGAGGGTTTTAGGGGTCTGCCTGGGCCAGTTGGTTTGTCGGCAATGCCTTGAGGCTTTGATTGAGCACTAGGAATTGCATGTGGCTTTGCTTGCCGAACCACAATCTCCTGCTTGCTCACCTGTGCTTTCTCAATTGGAACTTCCGGTCGCCGCGGGGGCTCTTGCCGCCGCGGAGGTCCGCAGTTTTGAGGAACTGTTCTTTCGGTGTCCCTGATATTGTCCAAGTCCCCAGAAGTTCTGAAGTCTAATGGGAAAACATACAGGACAGTTTAATATAAACTTGAAAACAAAGGAATTCATGTAAAGCTAACAAAAAAGAAGCTTAGGACACTTACTTCCATCATCATCCATCCCATCAAAGAACTTCAAGATTGATCAGTTTGTGCAGATGAGAAATACAGTCAGTTCATTACATAAATGATATACCTCAAACTAATGTTTCGTTTGGGACAGCGTTTTTACTGTTTCTTAAAACAACTTTGTAGTACAAAAATAAAAAATTTTATACTAAAAAGATGCTTTAAGAAGCAGTAAGAAAGGCGTCTCAAACGAAGCCTAAGATATGGATATCAAGCCTACCTCAGAAAGCTGAATAGAAGTGGTCTGTGTGGCTAGTAGTGCTCCTTCATCCAATGGAGGAGAAGGCAGGCCCTCCTCCTCATATGCCATAGAGGGATTGACAGAGTCTGGAGAGTGATCTGAAGGCAAAATCAGAGAGTAATTCTTTCTATCTTCTGAACATCTGAGTGTATATACAAAAAAAAAAAAAAAAAAATAAAAAAAAAAAAAAAAAAAAAAAAAACATTCTTTGTCATCATTTTATGAATTTCTTACCAGCAATTGCAGCAGTAGCATTAACCCATTCATCTACCAACTCCTTCCAACCCCTGAAACAGGTAAATGGAATGAGATTAGTGTGAATGAAGATTACATTAAAGTAGTATTTTGTTACCATAGGTTAATATAGATTTTCATCACAAGAAATTTTTGCTGTCTTAATAACAAGAGGTCATCTAATAGAAGCTAAATCAGAAATGCTGTAACAGTAATATGAGCTCCAAGAAGTCACAGTGATCAAACTTCAGTTGGATATAAATATTCTTAGGGAAACTATAGGAATTGAAACAATTCACATCAACAGATCCTCCCAACTGATTTAGGCTTCGTTTGGGACGGCTTTCTTCTTGCTTTCTATAATAGCTTAGTAGTACAAAAAATTTTAAAATTTGAAAAATTTTACTAGAAAGCCGTTTTAGAAAGCAGTATGAAAGTTGTCCCAAACGAAGCCTTAGAGACAACAGAAGTCTATGCCACTATATGGGCTCAAAAGACAGAAATAACTAATAAACTATAACAAATAAATCAAGTGAGATACAGCTACAGCTAAATTATCAGAAAAACAAAGCAATATCTCTAAAAACAAATCATAATCAGTCCACAATTCAGTTAGACAGTAAGCAACACAATTCATTGTGATCAAGGGAAAGAAACCATTTTCAGGCTATTCTCTTAATAACATGCCATATGATCCAGACACTCACACAATGAGAGTCCGAACGAGGTTGCGAATCTGCTTGGAGTTGTGTTTCCGCAGACCGTTCACTGCCCTTCCAATTTCAGTTGCCTAAATTGAAAGACAACCAAATCATGTAAGCAGAAAGAAACCCAAAATGAGCTCCTTTCCCCTCACAAAGCTATATGAATTCATAAAAAAGATTAAATCCAATACTCACCTTGAGAGTTTCTACAGAAAGTTGCATCAGCTCCAGCCTCCTCAAAGATTCATATAAGACTGCATCAGACTGCAAGAAAAAAACAACTGTGATCAGATTAAATAAATGAAAATCTAATACAAAACATTGATAACTAATCTATTTCAGAAAGTTAAGGATCAAAACCTCATCCAGCTTGTTGAAAAGAACTTCCTTTATCCTCAGAACCTCCCCAACTATCTGGCTTTCCTCCTCCATCACATCTGTAAGTGCTTCAGCCTCATCATAGCTATAATTGCTTAAACCTCCCCTGTTCAAATCCTCAGGCTCACCATTACAGCTATCCATTTTACTACCTTTCTCACCCACTTCCCTCTTCACACTTCCACCTCCTTCCTCTTCCCCCAAATCCTCACCATCATCAGGAACCTGAAGCTCCACGTTATTGCACCCAACGCATCGAGAAAACTTGCAGGTGAAGAGTTTCTCTGCTATCCGATCCCTTCTGCTCCTGAACTCCTTGGGGCAATCCACCGCCGCCACGACGATCGCTTGCTCGATCACCTCAAATATATCCGAGTTCGCACTGCGGAAAAACTTTCTCCAATAATCCAACGAGTCGGATTTGCCCGCCATCGAGCGTACAGCGATCGCCGTTATCCGGCGAGAAACCGGAATCGAGATCAAGAACCGGTTCCCACAAGTTTTTATCTTTACTTTCGCCGATCGGAAGCGGGTTCTGATCGGAACTGAAGGAGCAAGAAATCAGCCGCAGAAAATTCGTTGAAAAATTGGCCCTTTCCACCCAGCCACAAAAAGTTGTTCTAAATTGACCAGGAAAATTACCGGACAAGATTAACAGAAAGATTCAATCTTTCGATTCCAGCTTCCACCCAACCCTAAAATTTACTCTCTTTTTCCCCTCCCTTCTTTCTGCCTTCCTTCTTCCTCGTCTACCGTTGCTTACCAATCATAAAAAATCTCAGCTTTGAAGAAACATGTTGATTGGCAACTTTCAATCTCTTACTCTTCTTGCCTCTCTTTCTGTGCTATTTCTTCTTCTTCTCCCGATACAAAGAAAGAAGAAGAAAACCAGAGACACTGAAAGAGACCGCTCAGTAATCCTGTAGCAAACGCACCCAGCGTTTCCTAAACACCCAATCTCAGCGTATTAAATCATAATTCTTCGTTATTAGTCACTGTATTTTCGTATGTTAATGACTTAGAAAAACAGGAAACTTTTAATTAAATAAATTAAATAAGATACTCTGATTTAATTCATATCAAAATAATTTTAAAAAAATTTAAATTAAATTTTACTAAAAATTTAAAATGGACAAAGATCAAAATAATTCCAAAATAATCTCACGAAAGTTCTAATTTTATCCTCAATGAATCAAATTAGTGTTTTTATATAATAAAATATAAGATAATTTGATCTTATTTTTAATATTAATTTTAGCATAAATTTAGTGGCTTTTAAGTTTTTTTTTTCATTTAATTAAATAAAAGTCTGGCTCCATATCTTTCCTATTTTTTTGCATCATAACCGAAAAAAAACAAGAGAATATTTGACGTTGGGTTCAAAAATAATGTCAGTAAAGTGTTCACAGGAGCTCAAGCAAAAAAAAGAAAACGAGAAAACATAAATAGGCGCATAGCAGCGCATTATGAAGAAAAGCCACCAAAATATATACGAACAAGAAGGAGAAATATATGACTAATTTTCTTTACTACAAAGAATAAACGCATATGAATTTATATGCTCAGCTACATCATACAGATAGTAAGGAAAAGAAAATTTATCAACAAGAAAATAAAAAACCATTAAAGGAGTATTTAATAAAACAGAGATAGAAAAAAAATTTATTATCCAAAATGCAAATTTGACATCTTTACTCTGGTCTCTATTTTCAAGGATCAAACGATATAAGACTGACTGTTAGCTAAACTTCACCTTGCAACAATTGAGCTCATCATCTCAAATGGGATCATGAAGGAGGTCAAAGCTCACAATATTGGAATTCATCTCAGCGGCAGCTTCTGATGCTCATAAAACAACTCAACAGAGGTTTTCATGTTTCTTTGTTCCAAAGGATGTCAGCAAGTTTTTGTCTGTTGGATGATCGAAGAAGATCACCGGCGCGCGTTTGCCGAATTACCTAGCTGGTTCTTAGGCTTCATGTTCGACGGTCGCTGGTTATGTGATTGCTTCGGAAGATCGCTTATCTCCATTACTTGTATCGTTCGTTGTCGCTTCGCTGGAAACAAGAACATGAATGCATCAATAATGTTGAATGCAAGGAAGTTTGATTGTTAAGAAGAAACAAAGAAAGTAACAAACCATTCTCACTTGTTGATATCGTTCATGAAGTCTCCTCTTTGCCTGTTCAAGCTTGCATCCAACAGAATATGTTTCTTCAGGAATTCTTGATTGTATTATTTCTGCATACAAATATGAAAAAAGCTAAAGTGATATAATATCTGACATTCAAAGCACTAACATGTTAATACCTTACGTCGATTGGACCGTTGGAAAGTTTTCTCTGGACAGTTGAGAATTGAGTGTTGGTTTTTGTACAGGAGAGAGGGTTTTAGGGGTCTGCCTGGGCAGTTGGTTTGTCGGACAATGCCTTGAGCTTTGATTGAGCACTAGAATTGCATGTGGCTTTGCTTGCCGAACCACAAATCTCCTGCTTGCTCACCTGTGCTTTTCTCAATTGGAACTGTCCGTCGCCGCGGGGGCTCTTGCCGCCGCGGAGGTCCGCAGTTTTGAGGAACTGTTCTTTCGGTGTCCCTGATATTTCCAATCCCCAGAAGTTCTGAAGTCTAATGGGAAAACATACAGGACAGTTTAATATAACTTGAAAACAAAGGAATCATGTAAAGCTAACAAAAAAGAAGCTTAGGACACTTACTTCCATCATCATCCATCCCATCAAAGAACTTCAAAGATTGATCAGTCTTTGTGCAGATAAGAAATACAGTCAGTTCATTACATAAATGATATACCTCAAACTAATGTTTCGTTTGGGACAGCGTTTTTACTGTTTCTTAAACACACTTTGTAGTATAAACAATAAAAAAAATATTTATACTAAAAAAGATATGCCTATTAAGAAGCAAGTAAAGAAAGGCGTCTCAACGAAGCCTAAGATATGGATATCAAGCCTACTCAAGAAGCTGAATAGAAGTGTCTGCTGTGGCTAGTAGTGTCCTTCATCCAATGGAGGAGAAGGCAGGCCCTCCTCCTCATATGCCATAGAGGGATTGACAGAGTCTGGAGAGTGATCTGAAGGCAAAATCAGAAGTAATTCTTTTTCTATCTTCTGAACATCTGAGTGTAATATACAAAAAAAAAAAAAAAAAAGCATTCTTTGTCATCATTTTATGAATTCTTCTTACCAGCAATTGCAGCAGTAGCATTAACCCATTCTCTACCAACTCCTTCCAACCCTGAAACAGGTAAATGGAATGAGATTAGTGTGAATGAAGATTACATTAAAGTAGTATTGTTGTTATTATATGGCCAATGTTAAATATAGATTTTCACACAGAAAATTTTTGCTGCCTTAATAACAAGAGCTCATATAATAAAAGCTCAAATCAGACATGCTGTAACAGTAATATGGGCTCCAAGAAGTCCACAGTGATCAAACTTCAGTTGGATATATAAGTATTCCTTAGGGAAACTATAGAGAAATTGAAACAATTCACATCAACAGAACCTCCAACTGATTTAGCTTCGTCTTGGGAGGCTTTCTTCTTGCTTTCTAATGCGACTTAGTATCAAGGTGTACAGACAAAAATTATATAAATATTTGAGAAGCAAATAAAGCTTCGTTTATAAGAAGCAACAGCAAAAGTTGTCCCAAACAAGCCTTAGAGACAAACAGAAAGTCTATGCACTAATATGGGCTCAAAAGACAGAAATAACTATAAAACTATAACAAAAAATCAAGGAGATACATATTAAGCTAAATTTCAGAAAACAAAGCATATCTCTAAAAACAAATCAATAATCAGATCCACAATCAGTTGACAGTAAGCAACACAAATTCATTGTGATCAAGGGAAAGAAACCATTTTCAGGCTATTCTCTTAATAACATGCATATGATCCAGACACTCACACAATGAGAGTCCGAACGAGGTGCGAATCTGCTTGGATTGTGTTTCCGCGCAGACCGTTCACATCCTTGCCCATCCAATTTCAGTTGCCTAAAATTTGAAAGCACAACCAAAGTATCATGTAAGCAGAAAGAAACCGCAAAATGGAGCTCCTTTCCCCTCACAAAGCTATATGAATTTCATAAAAAAGATTAATCCAATACTCACCTTGAGAGTTTCTACAGAAAGTTGCATCAGCTCCAGCCTCCTCAAAGATTCTATAAGACTGACATCAGACTGCAAGAAAAAAACAACTGTGATCAGATTAAATAAAATGAAAATCTAATACAAACATTGATAACTAATCTATTTCAGAAACCTTAAGGATCAAAACCTCATCCAGCTTGGTTGAAAAGAACTTCCTTTATCCTCAAGAACCTCCCCAACTATCTGGCTTTCCTCCTCCCATCACATCTGTAAGTGCTTCAGCCCTCAATCATAGCTATAATTGCTTAACCCTCCCTGTTCAAATCTCAGGAATGTCAAAGCGCAATCGTACCATTGTCTAGCGCTATCCATGCTTAATACTTACATAAGATTTTCTTCGAGCAAACACACTACATTCCCTCTTCACCCTAGGAGCTGTCTCAACCAATCCTTCTCTTAACGCATCAGCAAATCCTCAGCCATCAATCAAGGAAACAACCGTCGCAAAAGCTTCGAATCATAGTATATTTAGTATGCGGCATAATCCGGTCTTCTTAACTTCCCGCTCCCAATCGAGAATGAAGCTGGCAGGTGTTGTAATGCAAGGTTTCTCTGCGTAAATCCGATCCCTTCTGGACTCCATGAAATTACTCTCCTCTGGCGAAGACGAATAACCACCCAGCCAGCAGACTTCATTGACGATGCAAGCTGATGCGGTACGAAATCAGCTCGGGGTCGCTAAGGCATCAGATATAATCTTGAAAGAGATGAGTTCGGACTATTGTTGCGGAAAAAAACTTTCTCACCAAGATAATCCAACGAGTGCGGATTTTTTTGAGCACCATCGGCCATCCGAGGCGCAAACCATCGCAGCGATCTAAAGCCGTTATCCGGTTTCGAGATATACCAGGATCTGAAAGATATCATATAGAAGAGACCGGCATTCCACATAGTTTTGTCAGATTTACGAGATAATTGAATTCGCATCCTCTTTGGCAGCTTTCGAATCGCCGTGGATAAATATAAGCGGGTTCTGATCGCGACAGACTTTTTACCAAGTCGATGTCTCAAACAGAAAATCAGCCGCAGAAAATTTCGTTGAAAACCCACTGCTTGGGAACCACAGCTCTTTTCGGCTACCCAGCCACAAAATAGTTGTTCTATAAATTGACGCAGAATTACCGGACAAAGATCCCTTAATAACAGAAAGATCAATCTTTCGACTTCCATCCATCAGAACTTCCACCCAAATTTTTTTGCCCAGCCCAGACTTTTTCGCTCTCGGCAAAAATAACCTCTAATCACCTTGTATTTTCTTGAAAAATCTTCTATATTGCATATCCCACGTCAACCTTTTGTATTAATTTTAAGCACGCATGCTAATCTTATGCGCCTGCCTACACCTGAAAGGATCATTACTATATTACTTGCCTATAGTCACCTGTGGTGCTTAGGAGTATTCCAAATCAGAAGTTTAAACAGAATCTGCCCATAGGGAACCCAATATTTTGGAAGAAACAACAGATGTTTCCCTAATGAATTGAATGGACGATTTGCCGCTCACGCTTAAGAACTTTCACCAAATATTCTTACTTCATTCTTTGCCATTTTTAAGCTTAAATCTCACGTATAAGTTCCTGGCTAGGCATACTATTTTCTTTCTTCGCTTTTTCACTATTCACATCAACTTATCAGGATGACCGGATAACAAAGGAAAGAAGAAAGGAGAGAAAGCGCAGAGCAACTATCGCAACTGTGATGGATTTGAAAAGAGCAACATCTAAGAAAGTTATTAGTAACAATATTTGGCTCAGATAATATTCTAAAAATGAGT